TCGGACTGTCCCGTAGAGAGTATCATCCAATCTCATGAGAAATTGGTGAACTTTCTCCTCCTCATGTTTCTTTGTAATTTTATTGCTGATATTGCACGTACATAGTCCGCACTTGCATGTCAGAATCTGATCATAGTTCACTAATTCTTCCCACAATTTTTTCAGTTTGCCATAGTATGTCACAATGGTCAAACCTTTCTGCTTGCATTCAACTAGTTCAGCTTTGAGCTGTTGAATACGTGGTCCATTCACAATGGAAAACCGCTCTTTGATGTCGTTCCAAAGATCCATAGCTACCTCCATGTGCGACATAGTCGATCGCAACGAAGGTTCAATGGTATTCATGATCCAAGACACCAATAATGAGTTGTTTGTCCACCAATCTTCAAGATCTGAAGATCCGTCGTCGGGTTTGCCAATTGTTCCATCGACAAAACTGAATTTCTTTCGTGCTAGAAGAGTTGTTTTGAGTGAACGAGCCCATTCATCGTAGTTTTCTCCCTTTAATTGCACATGAGTTATCAAACTTCCAGGATTGTCGTTGGAAGTGATATCATAATGGGAGATGGTTTTTCTGATGACACCTCCATCGTCATTGTTGACTGTCTTTATGATTTTGTTGTTTGTTGAGTCTTCGGTATTCGACATGATTCAAACTAGCTTTGTTTCTATTATGTATTGCAACTCTGATACCATAACAAATATTAGTTTGTAATGGAATGCTTTTCATTGATTCTTGATCTGATATATATACAAGTATAGGGTTGAATACAATATCTAATCATTCTAAATATAGTTGTCTAATATTAAATCATTTCCATATAAATTGATGCTAAAAATAGTAAAATGAAGATATGTGCAACTAATGTCATAATGTGCTGTTATGACATTATCTTCAGATAATGTGTTGTTATGATAGCATCTTCGTGATATTATTTTGCCAAGATATTAGTTGCTTAAGATCTTGCTTTTGAAATTGTTCTCGCAGCTAGTCAGAAGGAGACTATCTCAGTTGCTCTGGAAGTGGCCGAAATTCTTGCTATAAGGTGGTGTCTCACGCTGGCAAAAGAAATGAACCCAAGAAGGATAATAATCCAGTCAAATTCCCTAAGTGTTGTTGATTACATAAATTTTGTTATTGATAATGTAGTGTTAAAGTCCATTACAGCTGATTGTCGTTTATTTCTTAATAGTTTTTAATTAGACTCAATTATGTTTTTAAGCAGAGTTTTTAATATTGATGCTCATAATTTAATTGAGTTGAAAAAATTATACGGTTCAAAAAATTGGATTATTGGCTACTCATCTATAAAACCTGTGATGTATGATTCACCTGTTGTTTCTTTCTAATGGAATATTTTTTCCCTTAAAAAAAAGGATAAATTTCTTATACATACATAACTAAATCTTTTCGCCCGTAATATTTTGTTTTATATGCATACTAACGAAAAATGCTATGTCATATGATTTCATCCTTATATTATGTGCCATAATGATCATGAGATTTGAGTATGGGAGAGTCAGAGTTAATAGCCAACATTATCACATTTATATCTAAAAAGGTACAGGCACTCGCACCAAAAATTGGTCCAGAAATTTCAACCTAAATTTTGTTGGTTATGATGTATAACTAAATCACAGTATATATAAAATTGAAATCGGTTGTTTCATATATGTGTCGCCACTAAAGGTAGTAATTTGAATTTCAGATTTGTGTCAGTTTTATCGGCCTCTATATTACATATTAATCATATTTATTAAAAACACAATCTTTAATGATTAAGGAATATAAAAAAAATTTAGATATTTTATTTTATTCTTAGAATTTAGAGTTAGATTAAGAACTATATATAGTTTTTGTATGAATATGAGATTGATACTCCTTAATTAATATTTAAGGTATTTATAAGTGACCTTTTAAGTTTAGATTATAAAATCAAGAGGAGATAATTTTGCTAAGATGGAGTAGTGGAAGACATACTTTTTCTTTGATTGATATTAGCTAGATACCTCATAGTTCATGTTTTATAAACAAATGAATCACTTATCAAATATGGTGTTTAGGCACAACTTCAAATAGACAAGAATATTATCATTAATTAATATTTGAGGTATTTATAAATGAGCTTTTAAGTTTGGATTATAATTAATATTTGAGGTATTTATAAATGACCTTTTAAGTTTGGATTATAAAGTCAATAGAAGATTTTCGCTAGGGATTGGAAAGATATGGCGTTTAGGCACAACTTTGAATATACAAGAATATTATCGTATTGTTTTGCTTGTTTTCTCATCATGGATCGTATTTATATATATAATGAGTAAGGTGAAGTTTAAACTAATGACCTCTCTTTTACCTACAAGGGAGCACTACCATCACTAGGCCACCTTGTTAGTTTTGATATATATATATATATATATATATATATATATATATATATATATATATATATATATATATATATATATATATATATATATATATATATATATATATATATATATATATATATATATATATATATATATATATATATATATATATATATATATATATATATATATATATATATATATATATATATATATATATATATATATATATATATATATATATATATATATATATATATATATATATATATATATATATATTACATAATTGTTTATATATTTTATATTTTCATTATATTTTTTATTTAAACTATTGTATATTGTATATTTAATATTTAATGGTTTTATATTATTTTAAAATAGTTTCAATTTAATAATTAACAATTTTAATTTCTCAATTTATACTTAATTTATTTATAATAATTTCAGTTTATTATTAATTAATATTTTAAGTTTATTAATTTATATTAATAATTTCAGTTTAAGAATTTAATAATTTTTATTAATGAATTAATTTCAGTTTATTATTAATAATTTATTTCAGTTTATTATTAATAATTAATTTCAGTTTATTAATAATTTATATTAATTAATTAATTTCAATTTAATAATTAATAATTTAAGTTTAATACTTTAATAATTTATAATTTCAATTTAATAATTTAAAATAGTTAAGATACTAAAAACTATTATTTAGAAATAATTTAAAATTGTCCCAATTTAATAATTTATAATTTTATAATTTAATAACTAAAAACTAAAATAGTTATTAAACTATTAAACTATTAATTAAATATATTGAACTATTTTAGACTATTTTAAACTGAAATTTAAAAAAAGAAAATTAGTTTAGTTTAGTTTAGACTATTTTAGACTTTTTAAACTATTTTAGTTTAGTTTATAATTATAAATATTAAATTATAAATTATTAAACTATTAATTAATAAAATTTTATTAAATTGTTAAACATTAATAAATTTTAGTTTAGTTAAAACGTTACAATAGTTTAGTTTAAAACGTTAAAAACTATACATTAATTTTGATGTAGACTTTATCCCGTAACTAACAGTAAATATACCAACTAAATATACTGGAATAAACGTTTAAAAACTTTATTAAATATACTGAAACATAATATACTGTAACTAACAATATATAATTTTGATGTAAATTTCTGAACAAAAGAAGTGCCTAGACCCAACATGTTATGGGTTCAATCAAAGTTTAAAAATGGGATAGAATTGGACGGTTTAACGGGTTGAATCAGAAATCGGAAATGAATTTAGTTTGGTCAATCTTTCAAAATTACTAATGGGTCAAAATCGGAATAAAATTGAAAAAACTGAATTGAACGTCTGAAACCATTCGAACCAAGAAAATAAGGTCAGTTTTGTAAAATCGTTCGGTTCAATAAAATGCATTAAATTGGCCATTTTTAAAAATTTTTAAAAAATATTAATAGGTTAATATTAAAATTTAAAATACATTAACCAATCATAAAAAAGAATTCCGTGTTTTTTTTATAATCATATAAACTTTTGAGTTTTGTCACTCGGTTATAATTTTCTCTCAACCACACTCTATCATTATCACGTCGTCTCTTTCAAACATAGTCATAATGTCCAACTCAATATTTATTATCGTTCAAATCAATATTGTTTGTTGTTGTCAATTAAATTTTTTTATTGTACTTCAACTCAAATTTGTTTTTTGTTTAATAAAATATATTCTATTATTTTTTTTAGTATCTATCTTATTTAATTTAGGTAATCTTAATTATTTGAACTTTATTTTAGTTATTATATTCTATTATTTTAATTTTAGTTTGAATTAGTTTAATTTATTTTATTGCAATTTTTTAATTTGATTAAATTATTATTAAATAAAAGTTGAAATGAAGTGTAAAACTATGTATTATCGATATTATTGTATTAAATTTATAATAAATTTTTTAAATATTTATTTATTAAATTATGAACATATGATTATGTGTGACATATCTATGAAATTTAATTTTATATTATTAGTTTATTTAATAAACGGTTTGATCGTAGCCGGTAGAACCAATTGAACCTAAACTGCATGTTTCACTGGTTTAATATCCGATTCGATTTTTAAAATATTGAATTCAATAACTCCAGGACCATATTTTTGAATTTTGACATTTAACATCAAACTAATAAAATAATAAAAAAAGTGTCACATATAATTTAAAAAACAAATAATAATAAAAAATATCAACTAAATCATCTATATAATTAAAAATAATAATAAAAAATAAAGAAAAATATTGTCATGTCAAAAATTTACATCAAAACAATAGAATCTTAAAATATTAGAGTAAAAATTTAATTTTTATTTACGGAGGAGTTTTTTAAAATTCGTCACATATTAATCCTATTCATATAATAGATGAATTAAAATAAATTATTAGTAGATGCATTGGATGTATAATTTGTTAGTGTTCAAGTTGCCGATCTAGTAATGATTACTAAGACAAATTATATATTCATTATTGTCACACCTTGAAAAATTCATGAATGTTAACTTACATAACTTTAGGCATTCAAAAAAACAAACTTTCACACTATGAATTTGCTATTTGTTCAGACCAATATACCACAAGAATTTTTGGCTTTGTTCTCTTCCTCATCCATTGTATCACAAAGTGCTCTCCCTTTTGTCTCTGGCAAGAACACTCCAAACATTCCACCAATACCTATAGAAAACCCAAAAACTCCATAACAAAGAAACTTATTTCCTCTACCAGTAGCCACCAATAATGGACTTAAAGCTCCACCAAACACCACAGCAAGCCTAGCCATAGACAAAGCTGAATTCCTCACACAAGTTGGAAACAATTCAGTTGTGTAAATGACATAAATGCTAAAGGAAGTGCAAGCACTAAAGAATGATACCAACTCAAACCCAATTTGCGTCTTGTTCCATAGTTCCCCTTCTATACTTGACATCACACTACAAATAGCACTTAACATACAAAACATAGGCAATGCAATTCTCCTTCTAAACTTGTCTATGAATATAAATGTTATCAATGAAGATGGTAGCTCACTCAAGGCATTAAAAGTGACACTTAAGTAAAGATTAAAGGACAAGTTTCCAAGGCCTAGTGGCATACCATAATACACAACTCCGAGACCAAGACCTATTGTCATAATCAGCAATAACCTCCTTGACGACCATTTCCTTTGACACAACATTTTGAGGGCATGGAACAAATCCACATTAGAATTATTTTCTTCCTCTTGTGGAGTCATATTGTCTATGGCTAAATGTAGGTTACTTTGAGTGATTGAGGAGATGTAGTTTAGTGAAGTTATTGCTTCTTCTTTTTTTCCTCTCACTAGAAGCCACCTAGGTGATTCTTGAACAAAATTTTTCACCAAAATGCAATACAAAATGGTCGGAATTGATGTCCAAAAGTAAATGTTCCTCCATGAGGTGGTTTGGTTTGCATAAGCAATAGCAGGAAGGGACAAAAAGCCTATTGTAAAACAAAAGAAACCAATGACACCAATCTTGCCTCGCCAATGTTTTCCGACGAGCTCGGAAGCTAGAACAAGCGAGGAAGTTCCGATTGTGGCACGGAAGAATCCAGTTATGAACTTGAGAGATGAATAGATCCAAATGTTGGGAGATGACATGGTGAGTAGAGAAGAAAGAGACATAAAGAGACATGAGAAGAAGAGCATGTTCTTGCGACCAAGTGATGATGAGTCAGCAAGTGTTGACAAAAACAGCCCACCAACTAGGCAGCCCATGAAGAACATTGAAGCTGGAAAGCCTGTGATGAATGAGCTCTCACACTCCATAGCCCATTCCGATATAATGGACACTTGCGCCGGTCCATCCCAGGTCCACGAGTCTCTGGGAAGCTTGCACAAATCATTAAATGACTTGGCCGAGTAACAATCACGTGTTGGATCTAGCAATCTAGATCCATTGTTTGAAATTTGGCCTTCACCGATGCAGTGCCACCTTGGCACGGCATCTGTGAAAACAGTGATGAATGTTTGTTGAGCATCAAATATCCAAGAAACGGATATTAGAATAGCTTGGAGGAATTGACACCAATTGATTTCACCTATGCACTTTTCTATTGTGGAGCCAAAAGAAGGAAGATGATTATTTGGTGGTGTTTCTGAATCACAACTAGTGGTATTGGGTTGGATAAGAAGAGGAGTTGAATAGCCCATAAAGGGAGTGTATTATTGTTTATAGTTATTTCTTTATGGTGACTATGAAGAGGGATGGAGTTTATATAGATATATAGTAATGGGGTATATTCATGCATACACTAGAATCCTCTTGAATTCATTTATACTTGTAATTACTATTATCCTATTCTTTTCTTTAATTAAAAAATAATAATATTTGAACAAGATAATGAGATCCCTTTTATTCTAATCGGAAATTTTGAATTCGAACTATATTTTAAATATATAGTAATGTTAAATCTATTGTAAGAAAATTTTATCATCTATTATAAAATTGTGTTGAGAATAGTTAGTCTATAAAAGAATAAAATCATGATAGGGTATGTTGATAATTTAAAATAAAAATATTTCCATACAAGTATGTAATGATTCATCCACTTGGCTTTTCTTTTTCCAACACACACCATATACAGAATAATATATCTTTTGAGCAAATCTCCAATGATATGGCTAAGAGTCATATTTTAACAAACACGCAAATTTTAAAAAGAAAAAAAAGACAATTTTCCAAAACAGAATTTAATTAAATAACAAGAATCAATTTTTAAATTATTACTTTATTGTTAAATTATTATATGATCATGTGATAATTCAAGTAATTTTTTAAAGAGTTCTAAAAGTAGGATATTTTATAATAAAAAATTTTGTATGAGATATTTATATTCTTTTTCCAGTAAAGGTTAGTTAGTATCTGAGCCGGAAGTTTTTCTAGCGTCTTCAATATCCACATGAAAATCTGCTTGAAATGATAAAAAAATATTATTAAAATATTTTTGCAGTAAATTAGGAATGAACAAAAACTTTCTTTATAATGTTTCTTCAAATTTGATTCCGTAGGAAAATTCTTCTAATGGAAGAAAAACTACAGCAAAATGTGGATTTGTTTCTCAACGAGAAGGGTTAACCGGTTAAATCAAGAGTCGGATTTGAATTTGGTTGAGTCATTCAAAATTTTTAGTATGTCAAAATCAAATTAAAAATGAAAAAATTGAATTGAAACATTTAAAGCCGCTCCAATCATAAAATCGGAGCTGATTTTGTAGAAATGTCCCGTTCAAAAAAAATTCATTAAATTGATTATTTTTATAAAAAAAATTAAAAAGTTTAATATGTCAATATCAAAATCTAAATTATTCTTCAATCACAAAAAAGAAATTCTTTGTTTTTTTTACATCCATACAAACTTTTAAATTCTATCACTCCGTTATAGTTTTCTTTCAACCACACTCTATCATGGTTCTTAATTATTTTAATTTTATTTTAGTTATTATATTAAATGAATGTCGAAATCAAGTATACATCTGTTTTGTGTTATTATATGTATTATTGATTAATATTTTTGTATTAAGTTTGTAATAAATTTTGAACTACATATTTTTTTTAAGTTGTGAAAATATGATTTTGTGTGACATATATGTTGTAATTTATGAACAATAAATGTCAATGGGTATGTTCTAAAATGACAAAAAAAAATGAAAGTGAGAAAATGTCAATAAATAATTGGGAAATAGTCTCACATATAAAGCTTCACTCACTTTAAAAGTCTTTATAAAGAGTTATGAGCATTAACGCAACAAAAGAAAAAAGGAGGATAAAGTACCACATGGACAAATGTGATGGTCCAAAAAATTATGTCATTTGTCTCCTTCATACACCCCTCGTCGGTGTCGCCACCAGGGACAGCGACTTCGGCTCCTGGACCAGGTCTGTGGGCGTAGAGGCGCTAGTGGCGGCTTGTAGGCGGCACTTAAGCACATGGGCACAACGCATCGGAGCAATCAAGCTACTCATGGTGTCAGTGGTGCTCTGGCGAGCAGCGGTCGGTCTTCGATCGAGCTCATTATTACTCTCGTTTTGGTTGATACATGCGTTTGAATTTTGAATTTGAAGAGAAGCAACACTTCGTGGAATGTTGCTGCATAACGAACATATGCAATGCTTGGAAACAATACAATTTTTGGTTAAAAGGTGTTGTTTCATCAAGGATCACAACCTTGTGAAACAACACATACATGACATATAAATACGCCATTCTAGATTTTAGAAAATCACATCACAAACCGAATATCCTCTTAAACTAATTTCAAACTTTTTTCGCTACAAATTGATTTTTCGTCGGTCTTGCGTACATTCGATACAAGACTGAATTATCCTGGGTATTCCTACGTTCCAACTCTTAGACATATTTGAGAGTGCTTGAAATAATTTTAAGGAAAGTGATTGTGTTCACGATTCAGTCCTGGATCTATTCGACTTTACCAATCTTTCTAACAATCTTAAAAGTATTTAAATAATGCTTCCGACGCTGCAGTTTTAAGCATCAAGGTTATGAACCAAGACCTTGTAAAGTTGGATCGTTTTGATGGAACCAACTACACCCGATGGCAAGATAAGATGACATTCCTACTGACCGCTATCATACCCTAAATTTTCCCGCCGACTTTTGTAAATATTTTTCGTATTTTCTATTTTGTATTTTACTTAATTTCATGCCGTCTAGACACGTGTCCGCCTCCGATTGGGCGTTTTTTTTCAAATCTCGACTTTTTTTCCCAATAGAAACGTGACAAGTGGCCTAAGGGTATTTTCGTAAATTTCAATCTTTTTTAATTTCTCATTTCCTTGCATATATTAATTTTTTGTTCATATTTTTATTTTTATAATTTATTTAATTTATATAGGTTTTTATTTGTTTTTATAGGTTTTTTAGAAAATAGTTTAGATTATTATTTTTTAAATAGATTATCAAATAGTTTTTATAGATTTAGTTTTTAAGTAGACTTTTTTGTAATAGTTACTAGTTTTTATCTATTTATTTATTTATTAATTTTTTTATTAGTCTTTAGATTTTTATTTTTAATTAGTTTTTAGATATTAAAGTTATTTTAGAGTTAATTAGAATTATTAGAGTCAGTTTATTATTTCATTAATTATTAAGTTATTAAGCTTAGAATTAGTTTAGTTTTTCTATTAGAGTAGAGTAATTTAATTAGGACTTTATTTAGTCAGTCTTTTAATTAATTAACATGATCAGTACTAATCACCATTTATCAGCAATTAACATTTAACCAAGTCAATTAAGTGTGCCACGTGTCGCACACTAGTGTATATATACAATATTCATTGCCTTCAACAAGGGGACCCCCAAAAACCTGAACAGCCTCCAAACCCTAATCCATTCAACCAGCCGCCACCTTCCATCTCCTTCATCCTATCATCATCATCATCATCCCATCCACACCGGAAAAAAACCCAGAAACATTCACTCAAACTCCAAACAACAACACAAAAGCAACCTAGAACCACATCCGTTGACATCATACTACAATTGTCGTCTTCATCCAGAACAACCCAAAACACTCATCCACTTCCGATCAACCATCCATATCCCTCTTCTCTTTCAAAATGCTACAACCAACAACCAAGCCAGAAAATCAAACGAAAACCGTCCGTCTCTGTACCGTCATCTTCAAACATCCATTAACAAATCACACAGCAAAACCATTTCAACATAAACCAAACCAACACTCAAACCGTCTTCCTCTTCTTCGAAACATCATTCACCATCAACAAACCTCCATTTTTCGTTCTTCCTAACAACCTTCAAACACATCCAGCCGTGAACATAAACCGTAAACCTCTGTCGTTTCTTCAATCAAACCGACCAACGCCTCATCATTCTCGCAAACCTTTCCTTTTCTTCAATTAAACTGTCACACGCCCTCAATAGCCAAAACAAACCAAACCCATTTTGGCTTTACAGAGCACAAAATTGAAACCCAGAATCGAAACCCTTTCCTCCATATCCTTCAACGATTACAACCGTGAATCAACCTCCATAACCCACATAAACCACCATAACTTTCTTCACCTGTATAACCCATAAACTGGAACGAAAACCAACAATATCACCCAATCTGAAACTCACCAAAAAAACCCAAAATCCCAACTTCCACATCCCAAATCAACCAGAGATCATGAAACGTACTTCAAAGATTGCGGACTCTTTTGTCTATCTTTTTCACCACAAGTGCACGAATAGCGTATGTCGCTACTCGAAAAACGCATCGTGCAACGATGGGGAGGCGAAAAAGATAGACAGAAGAGTCGCCACCGAACTTTATTTATCCCATGAGGGGAAAGGAAAATATCGAGTAAACCTTAAGAAAGAAATGGATAAGATGGTCTCGCAACCAAGAACGGGTTTGGAAGCCGATTATGCGAAGGGAAGGTATTATCACCCCTCGCATCCATCGTACTCGATGGGAACCATTTGTTTGTCGACGTGTGAATTTATTTGCTTAAATATTATGCTATAAAAGAGTGTTCCACGGGGTAAAAGAAGGGTTAGAGACAGGGAAATGAGAGATTAGGAGGAAAGAGAGAACGGGGAAGAAAAGAGAAAGAACAGACTCGATAGGACTTTGCAGTCCTAGGCCTACGTATTCTCAACAGATATGAGAAAGTCAGAGTCTACGTAGTTCGGGGAACTACAGATATGGGGGAATGTGCTCGGCAAGGATTGTGGCCCTTGTGCTTACATATCTTTACTTAAAAGAGGTAAAGAATCAGAGCAGTCGTAGTTTGGCCTACGGTTTGCTGGGAAGTTCTGGTAGACGATGCTATCGTGTGCATTATAGCAATTTAGGTGTTTTGTTGCTCGCATGTGAGGAGTCTTAAGCGTTACCTGTTTGCGGTAGAACAGACGTAGCATGCCTTTCTGGGAAAGGGTGGAAAAGAGAAAGGGTTGCTCGCTAGGATTGTCGCAATCCTATGCCTACGTATTCTCAACATGCAAGAGAAATCAGAGCAACATAGTTTGTGCTACTACGGGTAACTGGTGTTTTTGTGGATGATGTTATCGTGCGCATTCTAGAAGTTTAGGTGTTTTGCTGCTCGCATGTGAGGAGACTTAGGCGTTACCTGTTTGCGGTAGAACGGACGTAACATATCCTTTTTGAAAAGACTGGTTTTCGCCA